ATGGTAATGATGATGATGATGATGATGATGGTGACGATGATGGTGGTGATGGTGATGATGATGATGATGGTGGTCATGGTGATGATGGTGGTCATGGTGATGGTGATGGTGATGTTGATGGTGATGGTAATGCTGATGATGATAATGATTGGTGATGATGCTGATGATGATGATGATGATGGAGCTGATGGTGGTGATGGTGATGGTGGTGATGATGACGATGATGATAATGATGATGACGATGATGTTGGTGAGGATGATGATGATGATGGCGATGCTAATGATGATGATGATGATGATGATGATGATGATGATGATGATGATGATCGCCGTACCTGAGGCGCGCCAGTTCGCACGCATCGTCAGCCGCTTTAAGTGTCAGTGGCGTGCTGCGCTGCTGCGAATGCGGCTCGCTGTTGGCTTGGCGCGAGCTGGTCCCCATGGGTCACCACAGCTTTCGCCTTATGGTAAGTATGGAATGCCAACACGGTCAAACGCAGCGCATCAGCGCGCGAGAACGTGCAGTTCTCACAATTGTATTCGTTGTCGGCCGCAAGGCCGAGGAAAGTCAGTGGGTTGGAGGGGAGGCCGATGAGGGAACGAAGGACGGGGCATGAAAAATAGTGGGCTATCGAGTCAATCTGTGCGCACCCAAACAGGCAATTGACGATCCCACGTACGTGGATACGATGACTGGTGGTCCAGCCGCCTGCGAGGGTCTTTAGGATTGACCACTGCCATGCAGGTTTGAACTTCTTAATCGTTGCCAGACAATCCCCCCGCCGCTCCGCCACCCCGCCCACGACGCTATCAGCAAGGCCCCAAGCGTTCAGACGCTTGGATATAGTGACTTCAAATTTGTTGGGGAAGGGATTCAGGCGGAGGAAGGAGGTGATGGCTCGCTGGAGCTTGGGCTTCTTGCCCACCGCTTGCGCCGCACGGGTTTCCACGCGGCCTGCTGCGTGCGAGGCTCTCCACTGGACAATTGGGATGCCTCGGCGGGGTGGGCGATTTACTAAATCTGCGAAACGCTGGGCGATCCCCTGCTGTTGGATCCAGCAGGGGGCGCTCCACTCTCCCTTGATCCAGCCTACGACGGGGCAGATCAGCGCCGCCGTTTCTCGCCGCCTGTCGAGCTCTGCTGCCCAGTCAGCGATTGTGAGAGTGGAGCAGCGCCACATACTAGCCGCTCCTAGAATCAGGGCGGATTGTGGGGCCACTAAACCGTGTCCCGTGAAAGAGAAAACATCGGCTTTGCGAAACGTGCTGGGTGGAAGCCGAAGGACTTTGTGGATGGCAAATTTTTCCTCCAGGAGGGCTTCGCGATCCATCGGGAAAAGCCGTGCAAGGTAGCTTAAAGTAGATAACGCAATACTGTTGTATAGCAGCAGGCTGACACTGGTGGGGCTCTCCGATCTGGGAATGTCAAACGAACGGGTCCACCACTTGGCGACCGCTTCCTTCCACGCAAGCGCCTCCGACGCCCCAGGTCCAAACTGGACCCCAAGGTATTTGGTGTAGGAAGCGATCTTCATATTGGCCCACTGGGGAATATGCTCGCGCAGGAATTCCCGAATTCGTGCCACAACTGCCTCTGAGAGGTCTGTCCAAAGGGGGACGATGACAGTTTTGGAGGTCTGGAGGCGGAGCTTAGCAAGCTCTTCTGCATCCTTGAAGACTGAGGCGACGCGGCATAGGTCCTCGAGTCTAGGATGAGCAAGGCCTGTGTCGTCCGCACACCCACTCACCTCCCCGCGCCAGTCCCCCAGAGAAGGATCAGCGGCTTGCTCAACCAGACATCTCAGGATGGGGTCCATTGCTAGAGCCCAGACAGAGCCTGAAAGAGGGCACCCTTGCATGACTCCAGACTGCAGGTAAAAGAGAAACTGTTTAGATCCTTGGACAGAAGCGAAACTGCGGGGCCCAAAATACAGGGAGCCGATGAATGTCTGGTAGCCTTGCGGGAGGCCAGATCGAGCTAAAACTGCCCAGAGCCAATCATGCCCGAGGCTTGGGAAGGCAGCAGCTATGTCGAATGCGACAAACACTGGGGCGTGTGCGTCTGCATTCGGTTGTACACTCATTCTACGCGCTGCGCTGTCTAAACGAATAATATTCCCGACAAAATTGCGGCCAGGGACAAAACCTTGCTGGACGGCATGGGTCCGAGATTGGACCAGAGCCTTGATTCTGTGGTTGGCCGCCGCGGCCAAAATCTTGGAGTCCGAATTGCGAAGCGACAGCGGTCTAATTTGAGAGGGTTTTCTGATACATTCGTATGCATCTAGGGGCTCAGAACCTTTGGGGAGGAAAGCGAACAGGGAATCGTTCAGATCCTCGGGCACGTAGTCACCTGCGAAGAGGTGCAGCATCAGGCCGTGGAGGGCGTACAGCTGCTCTTCGGCTACCATCCATGCCCGGTATGGTAACCTATCTGGACCTGGCGATGAATGACGAACACGCTTGAGGGTAGCCCTGAGGTCGTCGACACTTGGGATCGGGATCGGGACCTCTGGGGCCGACGGGTAGACTCTGTCCAGGTGAGCGATTATTTTGTTTTTGTCGGCCGATTTGTAGCGGAAAACCTTCCCCCAGTAGGCAGCAAGAGCTTCGTGAACTTCTGTGGGGCCTCGAACGACAGGGGCCTCGGGGTTCTCTAGAGAGTGCTCAGGACGGATACCTGCGAGCACCATCCTGCGGCCCTTCGGTTTCCAGAGGAAGGCCCTTCGGCGACCAGCACGCAGTTGGCGAAAATGCGCTTCAGCTGCAGGTTGGTCTCCAGCTCGTTGCGCAGCTTGTGCAGCTCGGGCAGCCCGTAACTGCATAGCTTCAAGTTCAGCATCGTGTAGTGAGCGGAAGAGGATGCGAAAGGTGTCTGCGTTCTGGAGTCTGACACCGCCCTCATCGATGTGGAGAAAGAGCTTGCCGTCCTCGGTGGTTGATACCAAAAGGGCTGCTTGTTGTAGGTCCTGTTTCCACACGGCTCTAGAAATACTGCGTAGGGTAATGTTACGGCCACCACGTGCACGTTTGTCGCCAGGTCGATATGGAAGCCGCTGAAGTTCATCTCGGGTTTGACGAGCGGCCTCGAGCATGGGCTGCTTCACGTACGTCCACTTCAGTACAGGCGAGAACCTTTCCAGTCCACTCGTGCTGATGAGGCTGTCGAGTATGATCTTGTAGCGCTCGTCCGTGAAGACCACATCTGGGATGCGCTGCGCCTCTTCTGGGATGTTCTGCTTGACTCTGAAGGAGGCGTGGATGATGGAGTGGTCGCTCAAGCGTGACTGAGCCATCTCCACTGGGTCCATGGCAACGGAGAGGTGGACGTCCGTGGCAATCAGGTAATGCTCTGGTGTACTGACAAAAAGTCTATCGATGGCTGATGCGGTGTAGTGCTGTTTGCTGAAGTATGTTGGCACCTCCGAGCGAATCTCCTGCATAGTGTCAAAGAGGGAACGCCAGAAAGCTTCTGCAGGTTGGTATGTACGCAGTGTCCTTAGCTGGGCCTGATCAGGAATCGGATGGTCGTATGACAGCGGAACGCCCTCACGGATGTTGAAGTCACCTATCGCGATGAATGTGCGTTCGAGATGATTGCTGCTTGCCCATTGAATATTTTCCATCCATTTGCCATTAATAATATTCTTGTCGTTCGGGGAGGTGTTGTAGTTGTGAACATTCATGACTCGCATTTGGTAGCGTAACTCGTGGTGCTTGATGGACAGCTGTGCGACCCTGCCTGGGACTAGTACTTCAAATTCGAGAGACGACCTGGTACCTGCAGCACTCGCAGGCCACGGCACTAAAAAGGCCACTCCACCTCGCCTTGCGATGCCCGCACGTTCAGCATCGGGTGATTCTGATGAACTCTGTGATGATTCCTCTGCCTGAGAATGAAAGACCTTGTGCTTCCGTAGCCATTTTGGCTCAAGGGCCAAATGGCTTCCATTTCACTGCCGCAGCGGGGTAGGCTCCCATCAGAACGCCCAGTTGTCTTGCCGCCACATCTAGGGGCTAGCGGCCGCCCAAGCATCTTCGCCATAGTATTTGTTGCTCTGTGCGCCTCCATATTCCACCCGTCGGTCGAGTACCTCTTGACGAAGAGCCATCTCTACATCAGCTGGGACGGCTTCCATATCGCGCCTCAGGTCGCTGGCAAGAAGCGACATACAATCAGCAACGACTTCAACGACACCGCGCTGCATAGCGACCCGCCCTTCCTCCTACAACGACAGAGTATTTCACAATGGCTTCCAGTGAAAGTAGCGGCAGCAGCTCCTCCTCAGCAGCTAAAGATCGACGCAGACGACCACGCAAAGAACGAGAACGAGTTCGCAGAGAAAAAGACAGAGGTGACGGCAGCCACTCCCGCAGTGATAGAGGTCAACGAGCTGACAAACATAGACCCGAGCGTTCTCCTTCTCAAGAGCGGGAAAGACGACGTGCTGAACGTGAAGGTGAAGCCCCCCGTGATCGCGAGAGTGGGGCTACGCAGCGAACTCATCCTCCAAGGGCAGGCCGAGCTGGGACAGCCACAGCTACCACACCCACACGCAGGGCAGCGAGGAGCGGAGGACCATCAGCCGCGACAGCAGCCAGGGCAACCAGGTCAAGAACCGACCCGAGAGAAGAAGATACACTACAGCGAGAGGACCCGTGGACAGGGTTTCAGCCTCCACATGGACCAGCTTCTGGGGCCCCCCACATGTGTGCTGCAGAAGAAGCGGCTACAACATCAGGCACGCCTACGGGAACATCAGCAGGAGCGGTACCAGCGACTCCAGTTGCGGGCGAGGCAATCGGCAGCATCCCTACCCCAAATGGAGATGGATTCGTGCACGACGACAGCTCCCTGGAACAGCGCCTCAGCCAGCTCTTCTCCTCCCAGATCGAGTCCGCCGCCGCAAGGTTCCAGAACGAGTCCGAGGCCATCATACGCAGCGCCCAGCAAGCTCTTCAAGGCGAACTTCAGCTTGTTCTCGGACATGTACGGCAAAATGGCGGAAGGATGGACGTCCTTGACACCTCAGTCCGTGAACTTAGCCAACGTACAAACACATTGGAGCAGGACCAACTACAGATGCGGCAAGATGTGGAACGGATTCAATCACAATTGGCAATGGCGGAAGCTACTCTACCTGCCTTCGACATGGCAGCTCTGGCAGTTTGGGATCGACCACCAGATCCACACCTTTACACTATTGGCGCACCATCGGCTATACAACCCGCAGAAATCAAGCGAGCTCTTGAACCGTGGATCAATGCAGCAGGCGTCTCCACCAACGACGTCGAGCTCATCGGCGACGTACCTGCGCGGCGCTTCTTCCTCAGAGTCTTCGGTGGACAAGCAGCCACGTCTCGCAGTCTTTCACTCGCACGGAATCTCAGAGCAGGAGGACAGTGGCGTAACTTCTCGGCTCCAAATACTACTGGCGCGCTCACTCCCCTGTACATCAACGCGGACAAGTCTCCTAAAACACTTCGGCGAGAACTACAAACAAAGAGATTGGTCAGACTCCTGGCAGACAAGTACGGCAACCACCACTTCAGAAGGGTGGGAGACGAAGGTATCATCTCTTGCAGCTCAATTCCCCTTGTGGTTCTCGAGGTTGGAGACAGCGCCAACGCACCCACCAAGCTCAGGTGGAACATCGCAGTCGCCCACCAGATGGGTATCGACAAGGCTACCATCACAGATCAGTTCCAGCAGCTCTTCCAGGCCACAGATACGACGCGGTGGTCTATTTAACACGCGCTGGAGCCCATGGCTCCAACATTCTAGAGACAGTGGCGGTCAAGTAGTATCATGGAATGCTCGGGGCCTGTGCTGCTACAAGAATCGTCGCCGCAAGAACAAGCTGCGCAAGCTGGAGAGGTTCATGAAGGCATCCGCTCTCATCATGATCCAGGAGACGCATGGTGTTCGTCAGCAGCTTGAAGTAATGGTCGCCTCCTCCCCATGATGATGATGATGATGATGATGATGATGATGATGATGATGATGATGATGATGATGATGATGATGATGATGACAATGATGATGATGATGATGATGATGATGATGATGATGATGATGATGATGATGATGATGATGATGATGATGATGATGATGATGATGGCATGCATCCCTGAGGGTCCCTGGCCGGCCCGATGCCTCCCGTGGGGCCCTCCAGAGCTCTCTCCACGGGTGCCCAGACGTCCCAGGGACGGACACCCAGGTCGTCGAGATGGCCCACACTGTAAGACGAAGCTAGTGACTACCTACCAAACCACCCCAACCCAACCCGAAGACCCGAATTTCGGGTTGGGGGGGTAAAGGTTCCATATGTGTTTTTTCGATGTTTCCCGACCCCCCCCCCACTAGAAATCGAGGGTAAATCTGAGCCTTCGGGTTGGGTTGGGGTGGTTTGGTGGGCGGTGAGCTAGGACGATTCGGCCCCGGACGACGACGGCCCCGCAGGAGCCCAAGACAGCCACGGGACGGCCCAGGTTGACCCCATGCGAGCCCCACGAGAACCAGAGGCGAGAGGTGTCGCGTGTTTCGGTCTTCTGGGCGGTGCCTGTAGCCTCACCACACGGACTGTTGCGCTTGCACGGTGATGGCGCTTGCCGCGAGCAACTGGATACCCTGAGATCTGGAAAAAAACAATGCGTTGAGAATGGTTTGGTAAAGGCTGTTCTAATGCTCCAGGAAGCCTGCTAAAACAACAGGACATGCGGTGGTATGCGGGAGTCCTTGAGAACCCTGAGATGTTCGTGTTTGGCTGAAGGGGAGTATTATGGGGCTGAATGGAAGGCGGAAGAACATATGATCATGATCGTTTCAACGGCTGCTGGATGATCGGTGGTAGCAGGGAGTGGTATCCACGGGATCTGCCAGTTGACCACTGGGTACCGCAAGGGTTCAATCAATTGATCCTCCGGCTACACTTGAAAATACAGTCGACCAGCACCCCTAGGGCCACGAGGGCGTCAATTCTGAACAGGCCCTGGGACACATAAATGAATAGACACAGCTAACAGGATTCCCAATCTTGTCATATATTTTCTGGGTGTTTCGCCCCCCCCTCCCAATATGTTCCCATATCTTCTGGGGAATCGACTGTGTCTGTGTGTTTTTCCCCCTCCTGAAATTCGGAACCCTCAATCACGATCTCCGCGCCGCCTGGACCCCCAGAGGCGCTGCGCGGGCCTCTCCGAGACGGCTGCAGGGGCGCTACTTTGGCACGCATCTCCCGCAAGTCACGCTCAAAACGCGCCCCATCCGTTACACCCGTCCTGCACGTCGTGCTGTATGCAAGCCCGGAAGCCGTCAGCTTATCCCGCCCCACCCCCCAACCGCCACCACATCAGCTCCTCACCTGACACAGGGTGCAAATCTACAACATCATAATTATATTGCCGCTGCGCTTCAAAACCATAAAAAAACGCTGGTGCAGAGTTCGTTCCTTCTTTCGGAGGGGGGTTACTGCTCCCCTGGACGGTCAGCAACGACGTGCCCGAAACGTCATGCATGGGTGCCGAGCCTGAGCGGCAACCAGCACTGCTGCACCCCCCCGAACTGACCAAACTACGAGTTCGGGGGAGGATCGGCCCTTGGGCCTCGCGTGAGTAAGGGGGGGCGATGGACTGTCGGGAGCGGCCAGGCCAAGAGGGGGGTGTCCAAGAGGGGGGGGGTGCAAATCATGACCGGCGGCATGTGCGCGGCCCAGCGGGGGGGGGGCCAGGGACGCAATGGAACAGGAAGAGGGGCCATGAAATCTGGGGAGATCTCATGGCCCCCGCCATGATACGCCCCCCCAGTCAATCGGCCTGACCTAAGGAACGATAGATAAGGAACGAAGCCCCTTTCTTGTCCTAGTAAGTCTACGAGGTCCGAAGGAACGGCCGACCCGCGCGCCCAAAATCTGAAGGAACACCAGGGGGGCTCGCCGCCAAAAGGGTAGCGGAACGCATGCAAACCCAAGGAACGACCGAGCCCCTTTTGAAAAGTAAGCGTTCCTCATTCAAGCCGCTCACTGCTGTGGTCATCACCCCCCTCTTTGCCGCCTCCTCCTCCTCCTCCTCCTCCTCCTCCTCCTCCTCCTCCTCGTCCTCCTCCTCCTCCTCCTCCTCCTCCTCCTCCTCCTCCTCCTCCTCGGGTCCATCCTGACCACGGCTCCTGCGTTGGCTACACAGTAGGGGCTCGATCACAAGAAGCCTCCCACAGGAAACCCAACCCTGAGACCCCAAGACGTCCATCGATGTTCGGTGCGGGAGCGTCACGCTCACCGTGACAAAGCCATCGGGGCCCGAGAAGCCAAGGGCACCCTGGAGGCAAGCAGGGCGTTGCTTGGCACGGCCCCCACTGCATCGCCCCCCCCATCCCGAACATCCGACGTCTCCATTTGTTCGAGACGCGGGCCCCCACCCTCCCGACCACTTCCCCGGGACTAGTCTTTTCGCCCCGAGTCGTTGTTTGACGGTCCCGAGGCCCGGCGAGGGCCCCGGGAGGCCGAAAGCGACGAAAAACCTCCGCCTCGATTTCCTCGAGGCGCCCAATGTCTGGGACTAGGTCGGGCGTGTCCCCCCTACAGGGGGATTTTGCGCGAAAAATTTCAAAAATACTCAAAAAATACTCCAGAATGGTCAACAAATATTCAAAACATAATCCCCAGACTATTTTTTGACTGTTTTTCCCAACCATCCTGTGGTGTTGGGTCCTCGTTTTGAAGAGACAGCGCCCCGCGTCCACTCCTCCTCCCGCTGCACCCTTCCTCCTCTTCATCCCTGCGTTTCACCCACCGCTTCGTGGCCCCATAGGGAGCTCCACCGAAGGCCCCACTGGCAGGGTTCGCATGGCGGCCTCGGGCCATTTCGGCACACCCCTCACGAAGATCGTGGCCCCATAGGGAGCTCCACCGAAGGCTCCAGTGGCAGGGTTCGCATGGCGGCCTCGGGCCATTTCGGCACACCCCTCACGAGGATCGTGGCCCCATAGGGAGCTCCACCGAAGGCTGCAGTGGCAGGGTTCGCATGGCGGCCTCGGGCCATTTCGGCACACCCCTCACGAGGATCGTGGCCCCATAGGGAGCCCCGCCGAAGGCGCCAGTGGCAGGGTTCGCATGGCGGCCTCGGGCCATTTCGGCACACCCCTCACGAGGATCGTGGCCACATAGGGAGCTCCACCGAAGGCCCCCAATGGCAGGGTTCGCATGGCGGCCTCGGGCCATTTCGGCACACCCCTCACGAGGATCGTGGCCCCATAGGGAGCTCCACCGAAGGCGCCAGTGGCAGGGTTCGCATGGCGGCCTCGGGCCATTTCGGCACACCCCTCATCAGGATCGTGGCCCCATAGGGAGCTCCACCCGCCAGTGGCAGGGTTCGCATGGCGGCCTCGGGCCATTTCGGCACACCCCTCACGAGGATCGTGGCCCCATAGGGAGCTCCACCGAAGGCGCCAGTGGCAGGGTTCGCATGGCGGCCTCGGGCCATTTCGGCACACCCCTCACGAGGATCGTGGCCCCATAGGGAGCTCCACCGAAGGCCCCAGTGGCAGGGTTCGCATGGCGGCCTCGGGCCATTTCGGCACACCCCTCACGAGGATCGTGGCCCCATAGGGAGCTCCACCGAAGGCGCCAGTGGCAGGGTTCGCATGGCGGCCTCGGGCCATTTCGGCACACCCCTCACGAGGATCGTGGCCCCATAGGGAGCTCCACCGAAGGCGCCAGTGGCAGGGTTCGCATGGCGGCCTCGGGCCATTTCGGCACACCCCTCATCAGGATCGTGGCCCCATAGGGAGCTCCACTGAAGGCGCCAGTGGCAGGGTTCGCATGGCGGCCTCGGGCCATTTCGGCACACCCCTCACGAGGATCGTGGCCCCATAGGGAGCTCCACCGAAGGCCCCCAGTGGCAGGGTTCGCATGGCGGCCTCGGGCCATTTCGGCACACCCCTCACGAGGATCGTGGCCCCATAGGGAGCTCCACCGAAGGCGCCAGTGGCAGGGTTCGCATGGCGGCCTCGGGCCATTTCGGCACACCCCTCACGAGGATCGTGGCCCCATAGGGAGCTCCACCGAAGGCGCCAGTGGCAGGGTTCGCATGGCGGCCTCGGGCCATTTCGGCACACCCCTCACGAGGATCGTGGCCCTATGGGGAGCTCCACCGAAGGCCCCAGTGGCAGGGTTCGCATGGCGGCCTCGGGCCATTTCGGCTCACGAGGACCGTGGCCCCACTGGAGCTCCACCGAAGGCGCCAGTGGCAGGGTTCGCATGGCGGCCCCGGGCCATAGCGGCACATCCCTCACGAGGATCGTGGCCCCATAGTTGCGCTGCTTCAACAACCGCGCATGGGCGTCGTACTCCGCCTTGTCGACGTGCAACGCCACCTCCTCCCTCATGGCTCTCAAGGCCTTCTCCTGCTTCTGCTCCTCGGTGAGAGGGACGCCGTCCTTGTCGTCGTCGGCGCCCGCGAAGACGGCCACGAACGTGTCCCTGAGCATGTCGGGCTCCGGCGGGAAGCCGTGGCCACATAGGGAGCGCAGGCGAAGATGGCATTCACAATTGCGGCATTCACAACTGCATATGGTTGGGTCCTTCGCCAGGATAATTGAATATCCCCCCTGTAGAGGGACAGGCCCGACTCAAGTCTGGGACTGGGTCCCCACTGCAGAAGTGCCCGAGCCCGAGTTGGCCCTTGTCTTCGGCGTCTTCACTGCACCCTGGGCGGTGCGTGGCCGCGAGCAGGGTCGAAGCCAATCTGCCCGCCTGG